TTGGTGTGAGGGTGGTGAGAGCCTGGCCCAGGTTGCCCAGGGAAGCTGTGGCTGCCCCATCCCTGGCAGTGTTGAAGGGCAGGTTGGATGGGGCTTGGAGCAGCCTGGGCTGCTGGGAGGTGTCCCTGCCCATGCAGGGGGTTGGATCTAGATGGTCTTTAAGGTCCCTTCCCACCCAAACCTATCTGGGATTGGCTCATTTCTGCCACCCCCCTGATGAGGTACAATAAGCTGCACAAGTCCCAGTACTCCCAGCATCCTTGCTTGGGAGACACAGATGTGTCCCCGTATTTTGGGAGACTCCCTGCCAGGTATTTGCTGCTGCAACTTCTACCTACACTACTCCAAGTCTGGGGTTTGCTGGTTCCACCCTGGGGACTGGAAAGAGTTTTTCCCTGGTATGAATTCCTTCCACCCTGCATCTTTGCCCCCGTGCCAGGGTTTCTTTCCACCATGACTCCTGCCTGGAATATTTCAGACCTTCCTTAAAGCATGTGGGTGATGTGAAGACTTCAGCCCCAAGTTATTTTCCTATTCTTTTCACATCTTCTGCCTTCATGGTTGAAGTCAAACGCTAGAAAATAGAAACTGTACAAGTGTAAAACCCAAAAGACAAAGATTCCCATCTCTTTGTCTTTCCCCCCTCAGCTTCCTTTCCATGCTCCTCATCCTTTTTGACAGTCCTGACACAATATTTTTGCACACCCCAAGATGGCAAGGCTGCCTGGTGCCATGACATCCAGACACAGTCAAAATACCCTTTTCTTTCCACTTGAAAATCCTGCCTGAAGCCTTCTGTGTGTGCTCACTGCTCCCAAATTAGACTGCACATAAATTTAACATGTTCAAATAATGGGCTCCCATATGCAGACAGTTGAGCAAAAGGTATATTTTTCCTGTGACAAGCAACTTGTTAAGACATTTCAGCTTCCCAAGATATGAATGGATACTCAGGAAAGGTCTTTTTTGAGACTGACAATACACTGAATTTTGTTTGCCAAGTTAGCAACAATTACATCACTTCACATATGCCAACGTGACATGGTGGCAGCAGCTCCCAGAGCAGCCCCATCCCAAGTTATGAACCAATATTTTCCTTCCTCTCTTCTTATTTGCATTGCAAAGAGCAGTTTGGGAGAGCAAGCAGGGATCCTGAGCCAGCAGCAAAGCCAGGAGCTTGTAAATCCACCTGCCCACTGGGTTTGTCAGGGGCTGAGAAGGAGAAGGTGGTTTGATGGCATCTCCAATCTCAAATCCACCTCAGTTCTAAAGCCAGATGCAGAGACTGCCATTGGAACCTGGCATTGATAGAATTCCTCCCTGGATCCAAAAGTGACAACTGCTTTGGGTCAATGAGGGTCTGAGGGACCTGGGGTGCAGGAGGAAAGGTCTCATGGGGTGTCCTGGCCATGGTTGGGATGGAGAGGCAGTGAACTGGGGGCTGGGGGTCTCTGGGTGGCTGGTTCCTATGGGACAGATCCCAGAATCCCAGAACATCAGGGGTTGGAAGGGATCTCTGGAGATGATCTAGTCCAAGCCCTGCCAGAGCAGGATCCCCCAGAGCAGATCCCACAGGAACACGTCCAGGAGGGCTGGGAATGTCTCCAGGGATGGAGACTCCCCCACCTCCCTGGGCAGCCTGTCCCAGGGCTCTGCCACCCTCACAGCAAAGAACTTTCTCCTCATCTTCAGCTTGACCCTCCTGGGCTCCACTTGGTGCCCATTGCCCCTTGTCCTGTCCCTGGGCAGCACTGGGAAGAGTCTGGCCCCATCCTCCTGACACTCCCTGCAGATATTGATCCTCCCTCAGCCTGCCCTACAGGTTTGGCCCTGCAACTCCAACATGTCACCCCATGTCTGCCCCTGTCCCTCTCCACAGCAAGGGCTGAGCTCCCAAAGAGCTTCATGGCCTTGGAGAGCCAGGTCTGAGCAGCAGCTGAGGAGATTTAATTCCAAACACATTTACATTATTATGCAAATATTTGGAAATCATCAACTCCTGCACTTAGTAGGTACTAAGAGCTAAATGTTGTCATGGGAACAGCAACTATTAACTGCTCTGGTTAATGTTTTTATTCTGGCAGTGTCCAGAGAGCTCCATGAAGATTGAAGACAACTTGTACCAGGTGCTGTGTCAACGTGGAGGAGGAAAAAGGCCCTTGTTGGAGGGCAAAGGTTCATGTTTTATGAGCTTTACAGTCAGTACCAGTTCTACCTGGATCTGTAAGAACATGACCAAAGTTGCTCCTAATGACTCCAGGAGCTTCTCCTACACCATTTCAGCAAATCAAGAGCCTTATTTTATAGAGTTTTGCCTTGAATCTGACAGCATTTCATGGTCAGGAGAGACCTTCCCAACTACCCCAGTGCAATCCAGCCCTGTATCATCAAGTTCTAGGGTTTGGGAATGTCTCCAGGGATGGAGACTCCCCCACCTCCCTGGGCAGCCTGTCCCAGGGCTCTGCCACCCTCCCAGCAAAGAACTTTCTCCTCATCTTCAGCTTGACCCTCCTGGGCTCCAGTTGGTGCCCATTGCCCCTTGTCCTGTCCCTGGGCACCACTGGGAAGAGTCTGGCCCCATCCTCCTGCCACCCCCTGCAGATATTGATCAGCACTGAGCAGATCCCCCCTCAGCCTCCTCCTCTCCAGGCTGAGCAGCCCCAGCTCTCCCAGCCTTTCCTCACAAGAGATGCCTCCAGGTTGCACACACTTTGGTTGTCCAACCCTGGTACATCCCCAAGCCATCCATGTGGTGGTTCCAGCCCCTGTGGGCTCCCCCAAAGCATCATCTTCCCACTCTACGTTGGGAACCTGGTTTGCCTTTCAAAGGACCAGACTTCAAACAAATGCAACAAGTCAGAAATGAGCATCTCAGATCATTGTCTCTTCTCCCTCACCTGGGCCAGATCAGGCTGGCTTGGAGAAGGAGCTAAAAAGCTCCTGCTAGAAAAGCTTCTGCAATTGAACATGGTTGATGGGACCATGGGAATCTGTTTGAACTCAAGGAATCAAACACCACATAAATAAATCCCAAGTTTGAATGCACCCAACTCTCCTCTCTGCTATTGTGCAGGGGCTGGGAAGGTGCTCAGAGGGGCCTCATCTGCACAGGATCATGAAAGGATGGTGACTCAGAGCTGCTGTGATATTTGCTCCTCTCCCTTCCCTGGTACCCAAAAGCCAACAGAGCCTTCACCCCAAAAAAACCCTCCCACCACAGGGCTCTGCCTTGTGACTGCAGGAGGAACAGGGAGCCTGGCAAGTTTTCCCAACAGTTTTTTGGATGTTTTGTTTAAAATGTCAACATGGGCTTGTGAAAACTGTGGTCACCACTGCTGAGGAACTGATCAGGCTTGCTCTAAAGGGGTGGCTTTGGTGCCATGTGTCACTGCCCATGCTGTTCCCTCTTGCAGGTCCCAGTCTCCAACCCACTTTCTGTGCCTGGGTTTGTTAAAGAAGCTGCTCCAGTGTTGGCAGCAGCTTCCCCCAGAGCAGCTGGGCTGGTACAAGGAGACCTGCTGGGCTGCCCTTGCAGGAGGGACATCTCCATGTCCACCCCAAGTGCTGCCATCCAACCCAGGACTTCTGCAGAGCCCCAGCCTGTCCTGTCAGCACCTTCTGCCCTTCTCTGTGCCAGGACTGGGGGGTGGTTGTGCAGCTCAGAATCAGAGTCACAGAATGCCAGGGGTTGGAAGGGACCTGGAAAGATCCCCCAGCCCAACCCCCCTGCCAGAGCAGGGGCACCCAGAGCACATCACACAGGAACGTGGCCAGGGGTGTTGGAATGTCTCCAGAGAAGGAGACTCCACAGCCTCTCTGGGCAGCCTGGCCCAGGGCTCTGGCACTCTCACCCCAAAGAAGTTCTTCCTGAGATTCACATGGAACCTCCTGGGCTCCAGTTTGCACCCACTGCCCCTTGTCCTGTCACTGGACATCACTGCACAAAGCCTGGCTCTGTCCTCCTGACACTGCCCTGAACAGATTTGTGCCCATGGATGAGGTGGCCCCTCAGTCTCCTCTTCTCCAAGCCCAACAGCCCCAGCTCCCTCAGCCTTTCCTCAGCAGGGAGATGTTCCCCTCCCTCCAGCATCTCTGGGGCTCTGCCCTGGGCTCTTCCCAGCAGTTCCCTGTCCTTCTGGAACTGAGGGGCCCAGAACTGGACACATCATTCCAGATGTGGCCTCACCAAGGCAGAACAGAGGGGGAGGAGAACCTCTCCTGACCTACCAACCACCCCCTTTCTAACCCACCCCAGATGCCACTGGCCTTCTTGGCCACAAGGGCACATTGCTGGTCATGCTCATCCTCCTGCCCACCAGGACCCCCAGGGCCCTTTCTCCTCCCCTGCTCTCCAGCAGCTCAGCCCCCAACCTGTACTGGTACCTGGGGTTGTTCTTCCCCAGATGCAAAACTCTACACATGCCCTTGTTGAACTTCATCAAGTTTCTCCCCACCCAACTCTCCAGCCTGTCCAGGTCCCTCTGAATGGCAGCACAGCCTGCTGGTGTTGGGGGACAGATGCCATCCATCCCAAATGCCCTGGGCTCAGGGAGCAGAGCCCTTGGCCCACCCAGGCAGCTCTGACCCACCCAAAGACAACAGTTGAGGCAACAAACGGCCCCAAAATTCAAGCTGGAGGAAATCACAGACAACACTGGAGGTCCAACATGAAACGTGGCCTCCCAAAATTGCCTTTCTAGGCCAGAAGGACACACTGGGGCATCTGAAGGAGACACCACCCACACCTCTTGTCACCCACCCAGGTTGGGCAATGACAGTCCTTTTTGGCACCCCAACCATCAGCACCAAGACACCCAAGCCCAGCACTCACTGACAAGCTGCACCATGGACATGCTGGTCCCAACAGGCAGCCCCAGACACTGGGAAGAAAAGCCACCTGTGGGCTCCTCTTCCAAGACCTGTTAGGTACAGACACTGCTTGGGGTTCCAAAAGCATCACCAGGACATGCACGTTTGCAGGAGGAAAAAGAAGCTCTTACCTGTTTCTCCCCATATGGGCAAATATTCATCCTGCTGGATGTCCAGCATGATTTCCAGTCCATTGCCTGTCCCACCCTTAACCGTGGTAAGCAGAGGCCTTCCTTCTTCTCCTGAGTTAAACATGTAGCATTTCCCATATTTTGTAAACACCTGAGAAGAGAGAAGAGAGCAAGAATGTACTATTTCCCAGGGAATCATCCCCTCTGCCCACCCAGGGGCAGGAGAGGGATGAGGAACATCCTCATGAGGATGAGGAGGGAAGTACGTGCAGGGAAATCCAACCCAGTTTGGTCACTGCTGGTGTTTTGTGCCCCTTACAGGAATAAAAGATGGAAGGGAGGAAGGAAAAGGTGTTTTCAAGCAGGAAAAAAAAGTCTTTCATGTCATGTGAAGGACCCAGAAAGCTGTGCTGGAGCTCGTGCTAAAATAGGACACAGTTCCTCAGGCATCTCAGACCACCCTAGGGGTGGGGTCAGCCCCATGGGATGGGGACACCAGCACTGAAAGCCACACTCACTCCATGCTCATCCAGCTGCTGATCATCTAACCCTGATCATCTAACCTCTTGTCACTGCTTTCCACCCCAAAGGCAGCAACATGAAGGATGCCTGTGATCTTCTGACTCAAAATCATCCCATGAGCTCCTCACTCTGCCACTACTTGGTGAATAAGACGAGTTAAAAACACTTGGACAAGTGAGGAGAGATGTCCTCTGTGGCTTTTGCTCTCTCTGTAATCTCATTTTGGCCTGTCTCCTGAAAAAAACCCAACTTTGGGAAAGGCCAGGTGGTGGTTGTGAGGCCACCAGCAGCTCTGCAGTGTGGGGTGGGCAGGGGTCTCCAGGTGAGGTGGACATGGGGCAGCTCTCAGTGGAGCAGCAGAGATGGGACATCTTGGATCACAGAGGCACTGACAGCCTCAGGAACTGACCAGTCCTGTGCTCAGCCTTCCCACAGGCTGGGAGAACGTACTGGAAGCCAAAGATTAAGACACAACAAGTCCTTCCTGTGTATTGCAGGGACAGACCAGGGGACGTGGAGATGGGCTGGACTTTTCCCAGAACCTCAGAGGCATTGAGAAACCCCTCACCCACTGCACGTGGTGACTCCTGCCAAGCATGGAACAGGGAGCATGAGTTGTCTTTGGGTCACTGCTACTTCCCAGCTCTGGGAAGTCCAGGTTTTGCCACCACTGAGAAACCAGCAAACCCCAGGCATGAATATTCCAAGGGAGGGGAGCCCAGCACGTTGGCTGAACCCATCCCAAACCACAGGGTGCTAACACAGCTGCTGAGATCACCCCAAGATGATTCACCCCACTCACCAGAAGCTGGAGTCACCAGCAATTTATTCCCCTCAAATTACACATCCTGTAATCACAGCAGCAGGGGAGCAGGTGAAAAAAAAAACCCCAACAACCCACCAGAGAACCATGAAACCACATTTGGGTTTAGAAACCTCCAACTGGAGCAGAAAAGATGCAGAGAACAGGAAGTGTTTGCAGGGGGGGGGGGGAAACCAGGCCCTTCAAACAAGATGTCCAGGTGGAAATCCCATGTTAAGACATGACTGACCCATGAAACCACTGAAGCTGGAAGGAGAAGCTGAACAGGACACCCTGGATGGGTTTGCCTGGAGAAGCTTTGAAGGCAGAAAGTAGAAAAATATCTAATTAGGGTGGTTTAAAAGTCAGCAAGAAAAGTCTCTTTGGGCTGGAGCTCATCTTCTCACTCAGCTCCATCCAGCCCAAGAACTCCAAGGCACCTGCTCCAAGCAAATCACAGCAGAAGTGGGGACAGCTTGGAGATCCACTCCCAAAGCACATCCCTGATCCAGCAGAACCCCCTGTAGATGCCTCCAGTGTGGGTGTGAGACACTGGATGCTGCTCCCACTGCTCCCTTCCAGCAGCCTTCACTGGGAGGGCACCACCAGGGCTACAGGGAGCCAGGCCTGACAGCACAGAGAGTCAAAACCCCAAGGGAATGATCTGAGGATGAAGAAATGAGAGCCCTTCCCTGAAGGCCAAGGCTGGGAAAGGCAGCTGTGAGCAGGGATGCTGCTCAAGCAGTGGCCAGGGAGGCCTCCAGGCAACCTTCTGCTTGGCTTGGTGCTGCTCCCAGGGAGAAAGGAGCCATAAATCCAGCAAACAAACAAGAAAGAGGGGGAAAAAAAGGAAATGGGAAAGGAAGAAGGAAAGGAAGGGAAGAAAGTCACCCTGTTCACTGCAGCTGGGACCTCCCTAGAAGCCAGTGAAGTTGTTTCAGGGAAGCTGTGGCTGCCCCATCCCTGGCAGTGTTGAAGGGCAGGTTGGATGGGGCTTGGAGCAGCCTGGGCTGGTGGGAGGTGTCCCTGCCCATGCAGGGGGTGGGTCTGGATGATCTTTGAGGTCCCTTCCAACCCAAACCAGTCCATGATTCTCAGCCACAGTGCTCAGTGCCCACCCATGGTGGCAGCTCATGGCACAGGACAACCACAGGTACCTCTCCTGAGACCCTCAACCACAAGGTTTCCCATCTTGCCCTAAAAAGACTATTTATAGTAGCACTTCCAAAGCCACTGCCAAGTTCAAAAATCCATACACACTCATTTCCACTCCCATGAAACCATCTGCTGTTCCTCACAACGTTGCTCTGAATTATTATTTAGGAAGATTGTGGCTTTTTCAGGGGATCCTCTTGGTTTCAGGCTCTTTTTTTGGGCTCCCTGATAACAGGGAAGGATTCAGAGCATGATCAGGATAAAAAGAGCTCAGAAAGGGCAGCATCACTAGATCTTAACTGCAGTGGGGCACCTGGGACAGTAAACATGAGGCAATGCAGGATGATTTAACCTCAGTTTATTTGTCTTGGGGGAAAACAAGACTCCTCACTGTTTGTTTAACTCAGAATAAAAAGAAGGTTCAGCACAAGCCAGAAACAGAAATACAAATGTGTGCCTTGAGACTAGACTATAAAAATACCCATTTTTTCCTCTTTGATGGATCACTTGTTACTCTTGACAGCTCCTTTGAAAACCCCCTTTTAAGTACAAGATAAACATGCTCCAAAATTGGTGAAATATTATATGGAAGTAGGTGTTTGAGTGACACAACCAGCTCTTCTTTAGGATGTCATGGGGGAAATGGGCATGTTGGGCAACTCAAGGGGTACCTCAAACTGGGTCCATGGACAAAACAGAAGACACCACCACAAAAAGAGAAGTTTAGGTTGGATATCAGGAGAAGGTTTTTCACCCAGAGGGTGGCTGAGCACTGGAACCAGCTCCCCAGGCAGTGGTCACAGCACCAAGCCTGCCTGATGATGCTCTGAGGCACATGGGGTGATTCTTGGGGTGCCCTGCACAGGGACAGGAGTTGAACTCGATGATCCTGATGGGTCCCTTCCAACTCAGCATGTTCCATGACTCCATGAAAAGCTCTGAGACCCTGATGTACCTCCTGCTGCCTGGCAAACCAGCAGCCCAAGTAAGATGGATACTCAAAATGCAAGCAAGGCTGACCTGAGGCACAGAGCAACAGGTATTGCCCAGTTTACAACCAGCATGGACAGGACAAGCAAATCTGATAAATTATCCTTTCAACAAAATGATGGTAAAAGCAAGTAATTTGAAGTCTGTAAATGACTTTTTAAAATCCAGAGAAAGGCACAGGCTAGAGCTCACAGACAAGGAAAGCATCAGCTGTCAGATTAAGGTACTACCCATCAACAAGAGCAAATGAGCTTCCCTGGCAATGGTTTTCCCCACAATTATGGTACACAAAGGTTCAGGGAGACATATCCTATCAGGTTATCTCTAACAGAACCATGGATAACAGAAAAAGAAAAGGAAAACAAAGGGACTTGCCAGACAGGTCCAGGAGAAAGGGAACATGAAGCTGAAAGGGCCTGGGCAGAGCAGAGATGGGTTTGGGCAGGAACACACAGGAGATGATGGGGAAAATATCCTGTTCAGGAGGAAAGATGACCTTATTTCTGTGATTTTGGCAGAGAGACAAATTCCCATGGCTACCAGCTCTCCCATGGCATCTGCTGAGCTGGCAGTGGCAGTGAGCCATGTCATTATTGGACTGGAGGTGAGAGGAGCAGCAGGGTCTGCTTGGCTCCATGCAAGCACAGCCCAGTGGTCCAGTTCCTCCCAGCCTGGCAGGAGGCAGCAGTGCATTATTCAACAGGAAATGATGGCTGGGAAGAGCATATTGCAAGGGTTGCCTGCAATAAACAGGCTGCAGAAGCCTGATCCCAAGGGGATCTCTTCCCAAAGGAGAACAGCTTGGCAAGGAGAGGATCTGACAGGCAGAAAGGACTTCACCTCCTGTCCTAAGTAGGGAAGGAAAGCAGGAATCAAATCCCCATGCAGAGTCTGACCAGCCTTTAGATCATTCTCTTCACTGGAGACCTTTTCATATCTCAGTCCTACAAAACCTTTGGGGGAGGAACATAAACCTCACAGACCCAAGTGAAGGTCGAGCGGCCTCATTTAAACACCAACACAAACCAGGAAGGAAAACACACCTAGATGTGTTACTCTGGTATCTCCTGCCCCTCAAAGGGCAGCCAGAGGTTTCTTTGAAATTCATGTCTGATTTGTATTACTGGAAACCTGGCACAGAGACCCATCAGATGAGCCAAATATCCACCCCTCACGGTGTCGGGTTTAACCTCGCAGTGGAGAAGGGTCACGGGGATGGAGCTCTGGAAAGCAGAGCCATGGAGCTGCCAGAGATGTGTTCACAAGGACAGGGTTGTCCTCTTGGTCTCCAAGGCTGAGCTATCCCAGTGGGGCTTGTCAAGCAGCTGGGCAAGGCAAGGCAGGGAGCTGCTTCCTCCCATGTCTGCCCTCTGGGCACCCCTGGCACACAGTTTGGGAGCAGCAGGGATGTCAGCTCTGCTTCCCCACAACCCTGCTGCTTTTAAAGAAGAAGCTATCAAGGTCCTAGGCACAGCCTGAGGCTGAGATAGTCTTCTGCTGGCATTAATGTAAGTTCTTTTACAAACTAGCAGCAGCCAGCATCCCAAATGGAACAGGCTGTCGTTGCTGACAAGCTGCTACAACGTGCACAACACTCCTGATTCACTGGTCTCCTCCTTCAAAACCAGTTCGTGCCACTGGACAGGACCAACATGCTTCCTGATTTATTGATCAGAGGATGC